AGATCGCGAGTAATGAGAATGGCCATGACAGCCTGCGAATATTTCGTTTCAACTTAAAATAAACTGCGAGCATTGCCGTATCATGTTTCGTTTTTGAAAGATTAATCCATAGATTTCATCCCAACGCTTGTTTCTCCGTTCGCACAGTCAAACATAGGTACTGGGACATACCAAACTCCAATTGGGCACTTACATCAGTCTCTCGCCGATAAACAGAAACCAATCGTTTTAGGGGTTGAAATTGTCTAACTATGCACGCTCAGATTTATCCTCAATGATAGCACATCATTTCATAGCTCAGCACGTTCAAACCTAATGCTACCCCATCCCAACGCGACTGCATCGTGACGTGGTGTGATGGCTCGTGTGCCTCCGTGAACTTCCGGGCCACACACGCTGGTTTATCACAGCCAGCAGATCCAGTCATGCCTAGAGGTCACACCAAGCTGTCTCATAAGGCCAGTTGATTGGACGATTTCTGGCACCTTCTGACTATCCAAGGAACTGAAATGAACTAAGTCTGATAAGGAAACGGTTTATGACTGACTTGAAAAGACCAGATACAACGAAATTAGCCATCTGTTATCAGTGTACACCAGTTCAGGTTTAGCGGGTGTCGTCCCGTGGTTAACCAACCGCTCAGAAGAGAAAGGCCTCATCACCGATCGCTTTTTATAGGACTCCTTTGCTTACCTGCATTGAAAACAAACGGCACTTTTATTTTTCAATGAGCTCCATTCGTGGAACAATCATAGAAAATAAGAAATTGTTCAGAATTGCTTTGCAGGAATGTTGCAGACAGTACTAATCACTTATGATATTTACTTCAACTACGTCTGTTTGTGTACCCCACCCCCCTTGAGGGATGCATAACTGCAAAACAAACATGGTTCATACAACTTGGGACAGTCGAACCGGTGCTCACATTGCATCGCTTTGTTCTCCTCAAATTACTAAATGAATGTGACCTGATTCGAACGATGCGATAAATGGCATCGATTTTCGACACAGTTGACACTCGGGAACATACGAAACCAGGCATGACCTATTTCACACTGGTCATAGAGGTTTCCAACGCAAACTTGACTAATACAGACAAGAATTGTAAGTGTTACTAATAGGAACGTGAACTCGGAATGCGGATATTGATTGAATGAGTGGGCAATTGTAGTCGCTCCACCACGGGATTTCTTCTTGCTGACCCCATACAACTTGGATGTGGGACTTGACAGTGAGCTTACAACAAATTTCCGTAAGATACGCGTACAGATTCCGGTGCCTATCACCATAATACCACACAATTTCTAACGCAAAAGTCGGAAGCAAGCGGCATACATGTCTATCATACATTTAACAGAAACGTGCTGTTTCAATCGTTCGCTATTTTCGCTTTACAAATCTGAGAAGTTTTGAAAGCCCACAATCAATGTGCATTCTGAAAACTGTGCTGATTTTTTTCACCAGACAAACTTCGGTTCACAGTTGATGCCGATTGGGAATCAATCTAAATTTAATCACAGACCCCGTGCGGGGAACCATCTTAACATGAATAGTATAGATTTGCAAATAAAATCTGAGGTCGTATTTCAAATTTGCTTCTAGGTTTATCAGTTTGAGATCGTCACGACAGCGCATCTTCAGGACACCTGAGGTCTGTGTGACATTCAGCGCAACAGTGCTGGATGAACTAATGCGAAATCACCCAGAGGTGCAGTTTATCCTCTCCATACGCACACTGCGGAGTTCCGTTGAAATGCAGTGATAGAGAATATATATTTAATTGCACGAGTGATAGATGTTTTCATTTCGTATGCACTTGTCTGTCAGTCGATCAGTGACTGTCATTTGTCACTCTTTGATTGATTTGTCTCCACGGGATTGCAAAGTTCAATGTGTATCGGTCACCACTTTCACAGTTGGATTTTTTCTCGATTACACACAGAAATTTGTGGAATCATGGAGTAGATGACTACACCGCGTGTCCCCTTCCCTCACCCCAACTTGGGCGTGTGAACCCACTTGTCTGTGTGAGAACCTGGTGTTTGCAGTGGTGAGTCCCATTAGACCCCGATGTGAGAAACAACTGTTGTGCCAGAGCTGGTGACTGTGAAGCTGTATACCGTCGAAGTTGGATTGCAGTAGCAGGGTTAGAACCTGCAACAGTGAAAAGCGACGCTCACCACAGTCCCACATGATTTGATGTTTTTCGTTGTTTCTGTGTTACCTTCGCCCTATTCAATCTAGCAGCCCTTATCACACCTCTTTCTCAGCATGTGGTATTTGGGATAACTGCATTACGTCGAATTTGCAGCTTGGTGTAGTGTGATGACTTGTTTACCTCAACGACAGCAAGCCGAACAGCATGGCTTTTACCGCCGTAGATCCGCTGACGTCCGGAACATCAAAGAATAGAGGTCAGACAGCGGAGCCTTAAAAGGCCAGCTGATTCGATATCATGTGGCTTCCCCTTTGATCATCAGCTTTCTTTGATGTCGTTCGGTATGGATACAGAACATCAGCTTTCTCTTTTGGAAAGGTTCCTGCAGTGACTAAATAAGGGGAGGAGAGTTTCATCGGTTTAAAATATCCCGCTGGATGAATGTGGAAATGGAATATTTGGAACCTGCTTTGAAGGGTGGGAGAAATCTTCACACTTCATTGGATAGATGCTGGCCGCCGGAGGTGTGTACCTCACACCCAATAAGATGCTGCCCACCTCCACCTGCTTCATCGGATACGAGAAATTTGGGCCAATCCCCAACGGTGGATCGATAATCACCAACCAAAGAACAAAAACCAAAACACTTAAACCTCATTTGGCAGGGCTATATCTTAGTGAGGATCAATAGTTGAAAAGAGTAGCGGTGCTTGTGTATGGTGTAGATGATCGTTCCGAACGATTGCAGTTTGTCTAAACTGAAGGATGATTTCTAAGTTGACCCCTACCGATTGCATAAGAATTCACCCAATAAAATTTGTAGGTGTTATCGTTGACTTCATCTATCAAGTGGGATCCTCGGATGAATCAGATAGGTGCCTGGGTGACCCACATGAAATCCCAGCGAACCAAACAGAAAATGTTCCTTTCGATTCTGCGCCGATCATGGTTCATTCTTATCGAGTAGTAAGTTCGTGCACAAAGACTGACATCGATTTACATTGAAGTCCGTCATGTCTTCTTAGCGGTGGACTCAACTTGCTCACATTGTCATCCGCTGCCGCAAATGAGAATCCATTCAACATTACCATCCCATCTAAGCTTGTGGACAAGGACTGCACCCTGGGATGAGACATTTTATCTGCACCCGATCATCAGCCGCAATAAAACCGTAGAAAATGGATACCCACAGCGCAAAACAAGTGATAACTGCAACTCAACCTTCGATGCGCAGCAGATAACCATCAACCATATTTTCCGCAAGTCATTGGTTTGTTTCTTTTTCCAAAGACCATAGTACCGTGATTTGTTTGGCACATAGTCTTAACTTAGATATGTGTGCAATAGGTATATACTTCCAGCTTTCGACGATTTTTTGAACACAGACATTCCTTCCGCAAACCTACTATTTTTATCCTTCTTAACCTTAAAGTGACTTTCAATTCGATCCAATACACTGTACTCTGGCCGTCTCTCGTTGTGGATGGTGTACCNTACTACGATTCACCTAGGCGATAAGCCCAAGCCACCTGCAAAATCATGTCTCTTTACCGCCCGAGTTCACCACAGAAATCAGTGATCCTCAGGGTAATCTTCCCTCCTTTTTTGATTTATTGTTGTTTAGCCCCGTCTGGCATGTGCCTTTCACGTTCAAATTACTTCACTTTAAATCTAGTTCCTAACCTCACTGTAAAAAGGGAAGCATTGAAGAAAGGGGACAAATTTTGCTATTTGGTCAGATAAATCTCACCTCGCACATGCATCACAGATAAAGTATTAGCACGCATACAGAAGGCTTGTTGGGAACTCGGTGAATTAGGCGGTACTCTAAAGGCATTGAAACAAACACGTTTTGTAGAACCCTGTGGAATGAGATTACCGTTGGAAGTGAATGATTTACTAATGAGGCTGAGATAACGATCAATTTTGTTGGTGGTTTTGGTGGGTCGTGGAGTAGGAAAGAGAAAATTGGAAAGTGGCAGCATCGCCAAAACATTTAACGAGTTTGAATTCTTATTAAAAATAAAAGAGGGTCGGAGCAAGTATATAACACTAGGAAATCTACTCCTCTAGCTGAGATTCTTGACGGAGCAGGCAGCATAAAACTTGGTTAGACACCGTACGCGAAGACCTGGAACATTGAGCCGCGTACAACATTCATCGTGAGGAAACTGGATGGGTAACACTTTGCTTAGACCTTGCTGCCAACCTCGAGCGTTAGCAGATGCAATGTGGGACTCGTCTTATCCTCACCAAGGAGTTTGGATGAATGTAAAGAAGTATCCAAGTCCAGCATTGCACAATGCAGTTACAATACCCGTCTGCGATTTATGAAGAGACATCATTGATTTATATTGGTAAGGTCTTAAACACGGATCGATACGGCCTCCCGGCGAACAGGGGAAGCTGTCACAAACATAAACTTACTGCGACACTGCTCATCTGGATCGGTGGCAAAGACGAAGTAGATCGGTGCGACCAACTCGTTCATGCCCTGAACATATCCTTGACCCGTATGTGTTTTGTAGTATACAAACAAGATCCGTTCGATCACTTCCCAGTGAGCTTCATTGGATGTGCCGTTTGTGGATTGCCCACGATTAGTCGAATCCGAACAGGATCCCGCAGTCTCATTTACAGCCCCGGGGCCTGTTGCTCCCGAGGAGGTGAACGACTCAATCAGTCCGGAGGATAGGCTATTTCCCGGAATGAATGGATCGTACTGGGGCATGTCAATCATGTTGACTACGCCAACCAGATTTCGGTTGACCGCGTGACACTGAAGGAACAGGAACATGGAGAAAAAAGGACTCAACTGGGGGAACAAACACGGCTGATAATCATCCATAAAATTGAACTAATAATTAAATTGCAATTGGTCTGACTCAGACCAACAATGCAGGACTTGTATTTTAAATAAATCGAACACTTTTGCGAGGTTATCACTTTAGCAGCGAGAAATGCATAGTTTAAATCTTCATTCATTGAGCATTCAGTTGCACTGCCCATTTTTAGGAAAGGGGTTGCTGTTTTGGTGGGGGGAGGAAGCGATGGCTACGGGATTCGAACAACGCTATGACCTATATCGCTTATGAACCGTCATCTGTGGAGTAAATCCTATAAAGGGGTTTAACCGAGAAAAAAAATCAACTTCGATAGCACAGATAGTACCCGGTACACTTCAAGTCAAGTCAAGTCAAGGAATGTCCTTATACACCTCGATAAGTGGATATTCAGCAACCACATAACCACAGTGTGTCAACAAAAAGTGGAAAAAAACAACAATATAATACAGCAATTAAAGGACGTGCAAAAGAACAGCAACATCAAAAACCAATAGCATAACCAGGTGCTTTGATTTATTTAGTTAAGCGTTTTGCACAGATCTGCAACGAATTCATGGTTTGTTAGAAATCTGGCGAGATAAGGGACAATAGACTGCCTGTAACCTTCGGTGCCTGTCTTTATAAGTTTGTGAGTGGAACGGGTGGATGAGTGAGAAAGGCACTGACTAAGGGCAGAATAAAGAGGAAGGTAAATATCAGATAAAATCCTTAGTATCTCCTTGTTTTTTTCAATCAGCAGATAGTTTTATCATCAAATTTAACGAACTGCGCTACAGCCGATTACGAAGCCTGCAAACAAGAAAATTCTGTAACTAGAATCGAATACATCAGTACCCAGCGGGGAAAAACAAAATGATAATACGCATCGTTTGATAAACTTCCATTGGGGAATAAAAAAATGCACCGTAAAACGCCTTGAACTGAACATAAAAAATGAACTAACTCACCAAAATCACACAACCCTCTTGGATAAACCGTTCAAGACAGAGAATGAATAATTGATCCCGCCTCCGAAAAAAAACGCGTGGGTTTGAGTACTTTCAGAAATTCGGAGCATAATTTGTTTCAAACTACATTTAGAGACGAAAGGATGTAATTATTTGTCGTGTACCTCCAGTGGCCGATTCGTGATATCAATGTCAGACACTACACACGCGCACATTCTAAGTGTTTTGTTTCAGTTCAGTGTACCTTTTCCGTGAACGGCAGCGGATACTGCGACTGACTTTAGCTTAACGGACCACAACGGAACTGAAACATTTATGACCACCTAACTGACGAATGTTTTCAGAAAAAATTATCCCCCACTTTAAATGGTAATTGTCGGTTTTATCAAACTAACTTTTCACTGTGCATATTGAAACTCAAGTGGTGGCCCACTTGTAACGCCACCAAATTATCACCCCGGAGGACATCAGTTAGAATAACAACCGCCACCGCCGCTGACTTTCCCCATTCTATGTGGGTTGCATGGTAGCCCTTTGATTGGTCGCTTCCTCTTTCCTGAAAATTGTATCATGACGTATTCGATAAAAGTAAGTAAAAATGTGAAAAAATTTACTTCACAGTGGTTGTGTTTTGAAAACGAAGAATAGTATGTCTAATTTCGAGAAAGCTGCTTTGAAAGGACGCGAAAACGGAACAGTGGAGAGAGACATGATCCCAAAAAGCTAGAATGTGTTGGTGAGAATGACCAAAAAAGAACAATCGATGTGTGCAGAATCAGAAAAACCTTTTCTATTGTAAGTCGTCCATTGACGCTTGACGTTCAGGGTACATATCCTTATCGCAGGTCGCAGGGACAAAGAAAAATGTTACTGATTACATCTACTGGGAACTGAATAGAAAAGGGAATCCGGTATCGAAGTAATGCACGATTAATGCTTAGAAAAATTTCCCGTGTGCAGACGAATGCAGCAAGCCCATAGGATTGGCAGTTGAGGATTAAATATTAGAATTTTCAATGTGAGAAAAACGAAGTGAGGCTTTTACTGTTGGATAAATATTTTCCTTGGCGATTTGTATGAGCTGATAGCGACTGTCTCAGTAAATTTACCCGGCTGTGACCGGGCAACCATGAAAATGCAATGAGATCTTTAGCTAATTTAATGGATTTTCACCATGGAAACATGGTAGATTTGTTCGAATAAGACGTTCGAACCCTCTCACAACACACCCTAATACAAACTGAAATTTTATCGCACAACGTGTACAGAGTACGCAAATACGATAAAATTCAAGGTTTCCACCGTGGAGATAAAAGGTGAAAGTGGCAAGTAAATTTGCTCGCATCAGGGTCAAAATCTTGATATAGATTGAAAAACTTATTCGACTGTATATGTGCCTGATAGTCGGAAAAGTGTCTCGAGTGCGCTTATCCACCCAAGAACGTGTTACCCCAGGTACATAGAAATTGATCAACAGAAAGTACCTACTCATGAGTAAGAAATAAATAACTGTGGAAATCAGCATTATTTGCCGCAGCCCGTGTGCGCACACTTATTGCAACTGCGGGCATAAAGTTTAGAAAAAAGATTTTACTTCCGAAACATTTAACCCAATCTGTGAAAACCCGTTCTTTGTTAACTAGAATACGTGCTTAAAAGGGTACTGTAGAGTTACGATATGTTTACTCGACGGGGAGCACAACGGTATTGGGATATAGTTGACGAAGTATGGGGAAAGGACTGCACTTTGCAGTACCACAGAACTGTTTACCAATCCACCTAACTTGGTACATTGAGTTCTGCCGGAGAAGTAATCAGCAGGCCAAGCTGATGCTTGCCTGGGATAACCGAAGGTCACCCGTTTAGGAAGATTAAGGGAATGAGGAATGGAATCAAGAGCATATGAGTAGTCCAGAGACACATAACGAACAGACTTCGCAGAGTTGTTAGATTGCAGAAGTTAGGAGGCGTTTGACTTCTGGTTTGATCAGATTGGTATAATACATGACAGCCACTGAATCTCTACATTTGTACGATCGTTCTTTTTGTCTTCTGAATGAGTTTGTTATTATTGTTCTGCCGTCACGGACAGAGATTCAAAGGAGTACCAGAGATGAAACATGTGGTTTAATGAATAAGTTGACTGCGTCATGTAAAGAGGGACAGGAAGAAATCCACGAAGAAATGACACTAATGGAACGCGTAAGAAGAAAAAGAGTGCTGCAGAGGGAGGAGAGATTGCGAAGGTGAATGGTGATTCGATTGGTTTTTGTGAGTGTATTTGAATGAGGCGAGAGTGTACTGTGGGTCTTATAATAATCAAGACGTGATCACTAGTGGAAACAGATGTTGTGAGTTTTAGGGCAAATTGTTCTGGGTGATTAGTAATTACCTTGTCTAAAAATGAATCACTTATGGGGCATCGTAGAAAGAGATAGGTATAAAACACGGCAACAACAAACAGAGACCGATTTGTGACTCAGAATTGTATTAAAACCTACTTTCTCCGTAAGAGGAATGACAGTACGCTGTGGGAAAGAAGACGAACGAAAGAGCCCTCCATCTGGAGGGGAAAGGCATCCCAATTTGAACGCCCTAATCGTTTGATGTGTAATTAGTTTTCAGCAAACAGTTGAAGAGGGTTCCTGAAAACTTTTGCAATCACCGTTTTAATGGTTCTGCATTTTACTGGCCATTTGCATCCATGATAGTCCAGTGGGAGTTCCATCAATTTGACAGTGAATTCGTGCCTGGGTTGACAAGAAATCATGCATGATTTTCAGTAAACTGTGCCAGCAGCAGAGTTTAACCTGATCGGTAACGGGAAAAGAAATAAACCTAACATGTACCTACACTGCTTCCCACAACGGTGTCCTGAGAAATAGAAATAGCCAATCACATAGAGCTAGAAAAGTTGTAACAAAAAATTTCGATCACAACACACGCAAAACCGGTGCGCTGGTCATCGGCTTGTCTAACGCTATTTGGTGACTAAATACATGGTTAACCCACAATCATCTATTGATTTTCGATAGGCACTAAACTGGTTTATGAAACACGAAAAAAGTTCATAAAACAGGAAAAATAACAGAGAAAATTAAACTAAGCGTCAACATGAAATTATAAAACATTGAATAAACGAAGGAACCCGATGAAACTGGGGGAAATGCTACCTGAAGAAACGAGGATTCGATACGTCCGCGAAGCACAGCCACAGAGCATTGTTTGCCAAATAGTTTGGATCCGGGAAAGTCGGTGACACGATGAAAGAAATCAAAATCTGGACACAATCGACGGCAATCTCGATTGATTTGAAGTAATACTTTATTATCATTGAAAAAGGTGATCCAATCTCCACCGGGCGAGGAGCTGAGAGGCTAAATGTTGAATCAGAACCGATATCATGGGGTGATAAAAAAGCCACCTACATGATCAGAGGATTCAGTAGTCCCTGTTTCAATCACAAAATCATTTACATAAGAAGCGTACTCAGCGCGACAACTGGCCAGTTTTTCTGCACGTACATTGGCTGCCTCGGGCAAATAATTGAGCAGGAGCTGGACGCAAACAGATTGGAACAACGCGAGAGCTTACTTTCCAACAAGTCGATCGAATACCGAGCGAATCGGGGCAGCCATGAAGGCATAGTTTGCGTAGTTCAGTCGATTGAACAACGTCACGTTGAAGCAAATCGTTAAATGAATCCGATTTCCGTTTCACCTCATCCGACCGATTCGGACGACCATTCATGATTGAACGGATGACCCGTCTAGGAAGAGACGAAAGACTCATACCACATGACCAGTATAACTTGTTCGAATCTGAAAAAAACGTGAATGGGAGTTTATGTCGAAAATGTACCGATATGTCTGTGGTACCTAAAGTCTACTATTCAACCGGGCCACTACACAAACATCTATCCCACAATAGAGCACACAAGCTTCAATAAAGCTTCTGACATGGAAAGATAACTACTAATATTGGAATTGTACAGATCACTAGCCTCGGTGGAATTCGAATCCAAACATGACACCGCCAGTGCGGTTATGGTCACGACTCAAAACAAAGATTGTTGTTTAATATTTGGATAAACCCATTCGATTTCTTACAGACACCAGGCACTGTTGATGTGGGTTTCATTCCTTGGGAGATCGTTAATTCTCCGCAATTTGAATGCATTTAAACGCGGTGGAAATGGTTGTGATAAAAGACAAAGAGCACTGAACAGCTGTTTCGTCCCATTTGGGACTCGTCCTGACATGGACACAAAAAGTACGCACTGCTAACGACTCCCAAACAAGACGAAACAGCCGTCCAGTGCTCTTTGTCGGTTTTCACTAAAAAGACTGTCTTCCCATTATCTGGCAAAGAACATAATTTGATCAATTAACTCAGACTTTCAAACCATTCGATGAAAGTATCAACTACCGTCGCAGTCAGATTACAGACTAATAAATGGATTTTATGAATCTCTAGTAGTTGGGTCCACGTTCAGAAGGTGAACAAAATCAGTGTCGTTGGTCCACTCTCGTGCCTCAGCTGATGGAGCGTGCGCTGTACGAAAGCGTAGGCGACGTTCATGGGGGCTGCTTACATGTTATCATGATATTTTGCAGCGTAGCTTATTGCTAACGTAACAACGGTTATTGCACAACTTCAGTTGTGTCATTAAATTATCCCCCGGAGGACGTGTGTTTGAGTTTCGCAACCACCGTCTAACCTTTCCTATTGTCGTATGGTAGCCTTTTGAGTGTTCGCTTCCACCTTCCTGAAAATTGTATCCGTATATATACATATATATATATTTGATAATAAGTAGTATGTGAATGACTGGACAAAATACACTTCCTGGGTACAAGTATATGAATAAACTGGCAAAAGATTACCAGATACGCATGCCTGACGAGCGGCAAGAACCGCGAAGCCGGTCGTGTGCTTCCAGGGAAATTTTGTCCAGTCATTCACATACTACTTATTATCAAAATTCTATCAAGACCATCAGGTCACGTTTGTTGCGGTTAGTAGCATCTAACCCACTTACAAAACATCGAATCATAGCATTGATTTTTCATTGGAATGGCTCTGAAAGAGCTGTCTATCCAATGGTCACCCGGCATTGCAAACAAGGTCATTGTGACGAATATATATATATATATATATATATTCATTAGAAGAACGTAAAAATGAGAAGAAAAAGAGTAACCTAAATTGTCTAGTAGTTCACTTATTTCTGAGGAAGAATTGAAATTTGGGGTAAGTAGCTGCAATAAATGTAAACGAATTATCAAAATGTCTCGTGGATACCGATTAAAGCATCGAAGTGGCATCGACCCTGGCAGAAAACGTATATCAGACATGTGGTGGTATCATCCATGTTTAATAGACACGTCCGTTCATTCATCGGGATCTATCTGAACTTTCGGATCAAATCAAAGATGGAAATCCGTACCAACGTAGCTAAACGCCGATGAGGGCGATGAACTTACCACCCTAGTAGTTTTTTATTTCAACTGGTTGAACGACCCACTCAGTTCCGGAATCCTGGAGATGGAGTCATCACATTTTCAAGGCTTACTAGTGCCATGTATCCAATACTTTGCTCATCTAGTTAGGAACTCATTTAGTGCTTCCAAGCTCCAATCTAAGTCAAAATTATTCAGTCAATCGTTTCATCGTTCTCAACAATACTTACCTTTCCCAGTCACGTATTCGACGCAGTTTCGAATTAGGTCTTTTTCTACTCTAATAAAAAATCCAAAAACTCCTCTATACCTAGTTCGGGGAACTGATCATTTTTATACAATTTTCCCAACGTTTTCGGGTTAAGTAAACACTGGACTGCCCGATCAAAGTGAGCATTCGGTTAGATTTCTTTTTCGTAAATAACCCTAATCTCTTTTGTGTATCCCACCGGTTACCAATCCGCCCGTCTGATTATGTCACCATTAAGATTTCCCCAAAATGAATATAGGAACCCAAAGAACGCAAAATTTGTTAGGAATCGCGACCGTACTTAGAGGTCAGTTACACACACTGAGAACCATTATGACTGCAAGTATATCAATTTTTCCTTACAGAAGGGCATCCGATGCAATAACATTACCGATACTTGTTTCTATATATTACTATATCTTCAACCCGCCAGACATCCGTTAAGTATCGCGGTGTTACCTTAGATTGAAATGCCGCTTTGTCTGAACACGTGATTGCAGTTTTAACTAAAAGAAGGCTTTCTTTCTACGTTGTTGACTGTACATTTGTTTATTCAATAAATAAATAAAAAGGAAGTAAAAATACGTTGATTTGTTTATTATTTAATTTCTGTATCGTAAATCGTATTTCGTTTCTCTCTATGTGGTCAAACGGTTTGTATGTGCTGATAATTTACCCTCCACCCCCCCCCCGCCGCCGCATGTCCTCGTTGTCATATTTGATGGTCTACCTGTGAAAGACTTCAAACTGATTTGAAGATCCTTAAATGGTTATATTTAAGCAGTGGCTTGCATCGTACCCGGGNCAAGGATAAAAACGTTTTCGAGAAAACAAGTTAGCTGATCCTGGAAGTCCTCTGCACACTAAATTAAGTACATCAGCGTCAAATACTCGTTCCGACCTCACGCATCTATTTTCACGTACTGCTGTCCACAAATCCTGCTGTCATGCGCCTCTGCCAACTATCCATAGATAAGGGGTACAAAACTTTTCAAGTTCATACATTGGATACTGAGTGGAACAAACACAATTTGATTAGACTACATTAGATCAAAAATATAAACATTTAAAAGGGACAAGGATCAAAATAAAGATTACATACTTAGTGACTAGAATGTTAGAAAAAAGCATATGAATATCGTCGTCGAATTAAAAAAGGTTGGGATATCTGAGCGGTAGCCCACTTATCACTACCCACCCCGCTCGATGGAATGGGCAGCACGAGCCTGATTATCCTACGTGATCACTCATGCAGTATGGAATTATTTATAGTTTGTGTGCGCATTAGTGTGATGGACGGGTGCTTCGAGGGTCTCCAGTCACTGAACAGGAGAACGATTAGGGTTTTCGTCCAAAGCCTTTAGTTTTAAGAACTTGAAGGTAAGACAGTGGTTAAAGCAAAGTAGAGGTTCAATTACTTGGATCGATTATTCCTCCACTATTTTACCGACTAAAACTCGACCTTGAATCAAAGAACCATCCAGGAATACCTCATCATCATAGTACGGCGAGATACGGTGTAGCGAAATTCGCTGATCGCGAACTCTCATGTAATTCAAAATGTTTTTTCTCAAAGTTTTTCTTTTATTGGGGGTGAGTAGATAAACCCAAGTGACGGTCAAGACGAAGTTTGAAGGGGTCTCTAAATCTAAGGACGGATTTTGTAGCGGTCCTCTGGGCGCGCTCAAGGCAGTCACGATCTAGAATGAGACTGGACTGTGCAACTTGGTTTTCGTACTCTAAGAAAGGGCGGATGTACATTCCGTAAATAAGGGGAAGACCATCCTTTAGAATATGGGAGAAACATTTTTTATGAGGTTCAGGACAGCAAAAGCGGTCTTACTGGCTAGATGGTTATGATAAGAGAAAGAAAAATTGTTGTTTAGGCAGAAACAAACTTTGTATTGGTCCACTTGGGGTGGAGTGTGGGAACCGTCTATTGTAAAAGGGTGAGATGGGTGACCATTGAATGACATCCCAACACACTTGTCATTGTTGATTGGAATATTCCATTCCAATGACCAGCTTTTGGTAGCATCCATTGAGGCCTGTAAAAAAGAAATTTCTGTATCTCAGATGGTGACATCGGCGTACAGTGAAATTCTTGGTGACACTACATCGGGCGGGTCATTTATATAAATAAGTAAGTAAATGGGGCCTCCAACGGATCCTTGGGGAACACCGGTTGTAATTGGGTTGGGCTATGATGAAGATTTACTAACCCGCACAGCAAATGAGCGACTCGAGAGGAAGCTACGAATGAGTGCTACCAAGGGGTCTACAATGCCGTGTGCTGCAAGTTTGTGTATTGTGTATAACTTTTGCAAGCACTGGTGCTCACATTTCAGTTGAAAAGCATACACGCTAACCGTCACAATGTACATAATCAACGGGGAGAAAAGTTTTCGCAGGCATGGAGACATTCATAATCCAAGGTTAAGACAAAGTTCACTCATTGTTCGCTCTTTGTTTGTGAGTAGACGAGCAAGATACGGTATGGGTAAATTGCGGTATGCATTAATTCGAGATGAAATTTGATGAAATTGGGAGCGTGTTAAATGATGGGAACGACAACGTGTCAGTTCTGCATACAATGGGTGGTCCGGATCTGTGAGGATCCTCTCGGCAAATTTCACGCAGGAAGTTACGCGATACTCGGAAAGCTTTACAGCTAACTTATTCACAGGAATGGAAGAGACACGACTAATAATGGTTAGATCGCGTCGTAAGACTTTGAAGTCCTGTTTGAGTAAACCAGGAAAAATAACCGGGGAACAGTAGAGTAAGATGGGGAAAACACATTGATAAACAAAAGTAGAAATAACTGACTGGGATGCGCGAAACTGCCTGAGCTTTCGTATTTGAAATGAAAGGCGTCGCAGTTTACCAATGCAGTTGTGGATGTGAGTTGACCAATGAAGATTGCTATCTACGGTTACACCAAGATATTTGACAGAGTTCACCCTGGATAAAGGATTGTTATTAATCATTGTGGGGTCTGTCGGATATGGAGAGCGAGCAAAACTATATAAACACTC